TGTTCTTGGGAAGGATTAGATGTACTGTTGCTTTTGGAAGAGCTTCGTGGCTCTCCTACATGTAGTTTGTGCTATATTGCAGAAAATAAATAAAACCAAATGGAACTTACTTATGGGAGGAGTTTGGCTGCTGACAGCCCACTTCTCCCTTTTTTGAAGATTTTGCTCCAGTTTCTAAGTGAACGTCGTAGATTTACGTAACAGCCTGCAAGATATCGAGTGGTCCATGGGCTCAGAAGTCATCCAAAGTGACCGAGCTTGCTGGACTACTAGCAAAGCAGCACTTTACAAGATATAGTGCTCCTTCCTGAAAAGATAACAAAGAAAAAATAAGATGAAAGAAAGTACCTCATCTTCATAATTACTTCCACGGGTGCTTGCCTTTTCCCAAAGTGCACTCCAACACAACTGACCTTTCCTTTCAATAGGACCATGCTGCTACGGGCAGGCTGCTGGCTACTTTCTCTTCTTCCATGTGCAGGTTCAATGGGATAGAGTCACAGGAGCACCTCAGAGGGCAGAATATGGCCTCGAGATCCAGTATTTTGCTTGTGACTCTCTTGTGCATCAGGCAGAGCCATTCATCAGAGCTAGATCTGAAATAAAGAATTTATTCAACCAGTACAATTGATTGCTGTGAGCGATACGTTCAAAGAAGCACAGAGATAGCTGGGCTGGGTTTTGGTTGCTGATACAGCATTGCCTGTAGGAGCTTTCTTCTACCTGGAGACTCAGCGACTCTATCCAGCAGCTACTGTAGAAACCTGGCAGCTGGCCCATCTTCCAGCACAGTGATGACCCAGATGAGGTCTATACATCCTACATATCCAGCTTCTTGGCTGTGGAATGCTGTGCCAGAGTGCTTAGGAGTTTTTGGCATGAGCCTGGTCGCACTTAGCGTTTTTATGAAAGTTCCTGCTCCCTCATTCATGCTGTAACGTAAAAATCCAGAGGGCACTCCTACTTGTAAGCTTCTGGACTCGATGGGTACAAGAGAAAAACCTGAAATTGATGCAAATCCATGCTACCATCTCCAAAACCGAAACGGATGCTAAATTGTGAATCACAGTGCCTCCCCAGGGGACCTGTGATGGTTTGCAGCCTGAGTCATGACACGTGAGCACCCGAGGCTGGAGCTGGTGGCCCGGTCCTGCAGAGAGCACTCGGCAGTCCCCATCCTGACCAGGATTGCTAAAGCAATGCATTAAAGGTGCTTACGCAGTAGCGATGAGGAAATCAAGATCTTACATTACTATGTTTTCATGTCATTGTTCATTATTTATATATGTCCTCTTTTCTGCGGCTGCCCTTTGCAACCTCTGATGCTGGATTACCTTCAGCGGTAGGCTCAGCTCTATCTTTGTCTCAACACCTGGAATGTTAAGACAACCTGGTTTTGCAATTAACAGGTCAAAAGCAGCAAATTAAATTCATATAGAGATCCTAAGCAAACCGACTGCCTGTTGGTAGGTGACTATGAACAGTTATCTATAGTACTGACTTAAAAGGGACAGTAGTTGCATAAACATGTAAGTGAAATAGATACCAAAATACTAGTCATGACCTTGTTGAAACAGTTGATATGGCAAAACTCAGTCATGAAACAACCTATAAAATGAAATATTATGATTAGTGTCAAGAGCTAATCTACCAGAAGCCCAGACAATGTGATGCAAAGGAGCTTTTAAAAGAAACCAAACAAACTCATTTTTCATTATCTTCTGCCATCTTATTATTTCACAAGTGAGAAATCCATTAGCAATTCTGCCAAGAACTAGATAGGCTGCTTAGTTATCTAACACTGAGATGCTCGCATCCCATGGCTATCTTGATGTCCCTAGAAAAAAAAAAAGAGGAAAAGCAATGGAGTAATAAATTATTATAACTGTTTCATTAAAACTTAGGACACTGTAATTTTCAAGTTTATTTGGTATTATATTTAAATGAACCAAAAGGCAACATTGTACAGTAACTTTATAAAATAAAATTATTACATAGTACATTAACCAAAGCCCCATTAAAAAAAAAAAAATCCTAAAAAGTCATTTGGGGACAGATCCTGCTCTTGCTCTGCTGCACACATGATTTATTGAGCTCATTTCAAGCAGCACTCTTGTTTTAGGAAAAGCAAATGGGATTTGCCCCCAAAATGGAGTACCTTTTTTACAGTTCTTGCAGTTCCATTTTGCCATGTGTAATATATCAAGTTTATAAGGCATAAATACGAAAAACAGTTCAATATGCTCATCATTATTTTAATTAAGTAATACAATCTAGGACACTTTTTTCAATCACACCAAGGATTACAATGTACCTATAGCTTTAATTTGTTTATTTCTTTTATACAAAAGTCTATCATATAGCATACAGTATATTCTAGTTGGCAACTGGTTCACAAGGTTGATCACAATATTCTTGCAGGTTAATATTGTCAGGATTTCACCTAGCTTGTATACTCTGTGCAGAACTGCAGGGTCCCTTCTTCCCAGGCCGCTCTCCTCCCGCAGCAGCATCCCACCGCTCCATCTCCTTACTTATTTTAAGTGAAGAGCTCTGTGCCAGATGCAAAACCCGCTGGGAACGGTTAGGGATGCACACCCCAGCGGTGCCGAGGAGCTGCCGGAGGCAGCCGGGGAGCGGAGGAGATGGCGAGGCAGCGGCTCCCGGAGGTATTTACGGAGCGGGGAGGCAGGGAGCCGTGCTCTGCTTTCCCTGCTCCCCTCGGGCTCCCGGCACCGTGGAGATGCTCCCAGAGGTTGCGGGAGCCGAATCAAGCCCCGAGCGGGAGATCCGTGACAAA